AGGGTACTCCATCGACGGGAGCTAATTACATTAGAACTCTGAATTATCTTTTCGTCCGATACGGAAACGTTGAGACCATCGCAATAGAAATCTTCACGCAACTACTCGAATTGCCAAAACTTAACAAGTTCGCAGACAACAAACAGTTGAGGGCGCACCTTGATAAAGTTAATGGGTTCATACTATCTCTCAAAACCATGCAATTGAAATCAATCCACTTTGCTGTGTTTCTTTATCCGATCCTGCTCCGAAAGTTGCCAGACCGACTTGCGCATCGTTTCATAGAGAAAATCGAACCACAGAAAACAGCCGATGAGGTTGAAGATGTCCTCAGAGAGACAGACCTTGAAACTGTCAAGCTCGCAGAGCTTTTCCAGACGCGATTAGATACGTTGCGAAATTTTCTTAAGAAAGAAACCGAAACAGGAGATCAATACGGTGCAATATTCGGAAAGGTGGCGTGGAGGAGTAGGTCGGAGTCAGGCTTTCGATCAAGAGACGAGTCAGCCCCAGAGTCGAAAGTAAGCAAACCAAAGGAAACCCCTGCCAATCCGCCCTCCTCAAAGTCCAAGTTTGCATGTCCATATTGCAAGGAGCCTCATGTCCCCGCGAAGTGCAAAGCTGAGTTATCAATCGAACTGAAGAAACAAAAGCTCGCGAGAGCCGGCTTCTGCTCGAAGTGTCTCAGAAGCGGGCATTTAGAAGATAAATGTTCCTCACAAATACAGTGCATTAAATGCAAGGGAGACCATCATGGTTCGTTGTGTGCCAACGTGAGGTCAGCAGTTGTCGCTCAGAGCAACCAGGCTGAAACGTTGGCAGCAGTCGGCCACCTAATGCTCCTTGGTCCGGACGGTTCTCAGCGAGTGCGATTCTTGTTGGACAGCGGTGCGAATACAACTTTCATTACAGAAGAGTACGCAGAGCTCCTCAACCTAGAGGTAGTCGGTTCAGACAAATTTCTGTTGCACAGATTCGGAGAGCAAGTCTCACAGTCGAGCGAATGCAGAATCGTTCGGTTCGGAGTTCTGACGAGCGACAATCGAGCGCTGCAGTTCACTGCGCTGGTTGTACCGGAAATATCAAATTTAGAACCGAAGCCGCTGTCCGGGGAGATTCGCGCTCGCCTCCAAAATCCATCCGATCATCCAAAGGGTCCGAGGAAGCTCGGAATTCTATTCAGCTTCAGCGATATGGTTCAAATTATCAAAGGTGGCTTCAAAAAGCTCACGGAGAGCGTGTCCTATCTCGACACAATCTTCGGACAAGTTCCAGTGAGCGAAAACAAGCCTGCCTCCGATTCAGGGGCAGCTTTCCCCGTAAACATTGAAAAGTTTTGGGAACTCGAGCACATCGGAATCCTACCGGAGGAGCACACTGTTGATGGAAAAATCTCGGAGACTTTCATTCAAGACTTTCTAAAAACCGTTGAATTTAAGGACGGAATGTACAGCACGATTCTCAACCTGGACTCAAGAAAACTTGAGTATCTCACAGATAACTTCCCAGCAGCGAAGCAACAAGCTCACAAGCTGCTGAAATCATTGGATCAAAAGCCGAGTCTCCGAGAAGAGTACATCAAACAGATGAATGTGTTTTTCGATTCTGGTTACGCCGAGCCGGTGCCCCTGGGGGAAAAACCTAGGTATTTCATGCCACACTTCCCGGTGGTCAATGAATCCAAGGTATCCTACAAGGTCCGACCGGTATTCAATGCGTCGTCAAAGATGAAAGGTCAACTCTCCCTCAACGATGTCATTCTCGAGGTTCCAAATTTGCTTCCAACTTCTGTCGAAATGTTGTCCAAGTTTAGAGTCCGTGAGATCGCGTTCGTCGGTGATATCACGAAGGCGTACCTCACGATCGGCGTAAAACCGGAGATGAGAAATTTCCAGTGTTTCCTGTGGTCCAGAAACGGAGACGCTTCGAATCTCAAAGTGTACCGCATGAATCGAAACTGTTTTGGCGTCAAGGACGCTCAGTTCAACGTCATCTCAGTTATCCGAATGCATGCAAACAATTTCCAAAACTCCCACCCGGGAGCATCCAAGGCATTGATGGAGGACCTCTACATGGACGACCTCGTAACGGGGGCTGACTCCATTGAAGAAGCGAGGGAAATCCAGTCCGATATCTCCTACATTCTTGGTAAGGCTGCCATGGTAATGCGAAAATGGCGTTTTTCGGAGGAAAGCTGCGATGACAACTCACAGGTCATTCTCGGGTCGCAGATGCCAGAAAAAGTGCTCGGTGTTGTTTGGAACAACGAAACCGACGCTCTGACATTCGATCCCGCAAACTTGATCGAGTTCGTCGCCGCCGCCAAACCAACGAAGCGAACACTGCTGGGTGCGGCCGCAAGGTTGTATGATCCGACAGGCTTCCTTTCACCTTTCGTGATGCAGATAAAATTGTTGATTCAGAAGGTTCATCTCCAAAAACTGGGTCTCGATAAAGCCTTTCAAGGCGAAATTCTCGACGGTTGGAAAAAGTGGTGTGATCAGCTTCCATTCATCAGTAGGTTCCAAATTCCAAGGTGTTTCACGAAGGGATTCAGAGCTGTGAAACTGGAGCTGCACACATTCGCCGACGCGAGCGATTCGGCGTACGCCGCCGTAGTCTATCTCAAGTCGTGGAATCCAAACTCGGATGAGCGCGCTGTCGTGCTCGTAGCTTCGAAGGCTCGAATGACGCCTCTCAAATCTCTAAGCTCTCTAACGATTCCAAAGAAGGAGCTTGTGGCGGCTATGTGTGCGGCGCGGCTGGCAGCATCCATAAAAAAGTTCCTGAATCTAAGTTGTGAGACGTTCTACTGGACGGACTCTATGAATGTCTACTATTGGATCAGAAGAGACTGTCCATTGAAGTATGAGGTGTTCGTTCGGAACAGGCTAATTGAGATTTCCAAGTTGACAAAACCGTTGGAATGGCGGCATGTCCCCGGAGTCGAGAATCCGGCAGACTATCCGTCACGCGGCATGTCAATGGAGAAACTACTCAAGGAACCGTCCTGGCTCAACGGACCCGCTTTTCTAAAATCAGAAATCTATCCCGAAGTCCATTCCACAGAGGTAGAAGTGTTTGTTGCAACGGCAACTCAGGTCGAGGTCAAGGAAAAGAATTCGGTCATTCCAATCGAAAGATACTCCACGCTAAGAAGAGCGATCAGGGTAACGGCGACGATTTTTCGAGCTATAGCGATCTTCCAGCTCCGCTGGTATCAAAAAAATGCCAGGACAAGGAAGTCCAAAGAATTGGCTTCTCAGAAAGTCAAATTGTTCGGCAAAGGTGTTCCGTCAGACTCCATAACGCGCCGGCCGATAACGGCACTCGAGCTCAAATTGGCGAAGCAACACCTTACACGGGAGGCGCAACAGCGTTGCTTCCGGGAGGTAGCCTTGAGTCGGAGTGTCGCGGAGAGTCAGGCGCTCACTAGCCTTGGTGCGTATTTCGATTCTGCCGACTTGTTACGTCTGGGGGGAAGATTGGAGAACTTCGAGGGAGATGAGGCGTTGAAACACCCAATCGTGCTGTCGGAAGACTGGTTCACGACGCTGGTGATACGAGATCTCCACGAAAACCAACTTTCTCACCTTCGTACTGACATGGTTCTGGCGAATCTCCGACAGGAATTTTGGATTCTCCAAGCTAGGCGCCAGGTCAAAAAAGTAATCGGTCGTTGCGTGAGATGCAAAAGGTATACGGCCAAACCGTCCGGGGCTCCGCAGGCTCCACTACCGGCCCCCCGAACAGAATCGGGTGGGGTGTTCAGGAACGTTGGGATCGATTACCTTGGCCCCTTCGAAATCCGCAGTGGGAAAGTGTGGATCTGTCTTTTCACATGTTCTGTTACTCGAGGTGTCCACTTTGAGGTCGTTGAAGACTATTCAGCCGAGGCATTCCTGCAGGCTCTGAAACGATTCGTTGCCACGCGCGGTTTGCCGGCCAGAATAATCTCAGACAATGGTTCCAATTTCGTGCGCTCGGCGAGGGGTTTGAGATGCCTCTGGGAAAACCTTCGGTCAGCTCAGGTCCAGGAGTTCATGAACGTTCGAGGCTTCCAGTGGTCCTTTAATGTTCCCCGAGCAGCGTGGTGGGGAGGACAGTTTGAAAGATTGGTTCGGGTGACTAAAGATTGCATGCGCAAGACGCTCAACGGGGCTGTGCTCTCTCTATTCGGTTTCATGACAGCGATCAAGGAAATTGAAGCAATTATAAATTCGAGACCTCTAACCGTCTTACCAGACAATCCCTCCCTTCCGGAAGCGCTGACACCTGCTCATTTCATCACCGGTGCAAACTCACTCAGTCTCCCCAAGGGCTCCGTAAAGTCCAAGGGCGAAAAAGACGACAGACTGACAAGATTTTGGCGTATTCGAGAAAAGTTGCTAAACGATTTCTGGATGAGATGGAGGAATGAATATTTTTTAATGTTGAGATCTGCCCATGAAAAGGGACGCGTTCGAGACAGCTCGCCGCTCGCCCTCGATGACATCGTTTTGATACATGAACCGAAATTAGAACGTGCTCGATGGAGGTTAGGCAGAGTGGTTGAACTCCCACCGGGCAAGGACAAGGTTGTAAGATCATGCAGAGTCAAGACGCAGAATGGGATTCTAACAAGAGCGTTGCAACATATCTACAGGCTGATCTGAATCAGTACCTGATCTGTATCGATACTCGAATGTTATCTACCCATGTCAATCAACATACTTGGGAAGCAATATGTGAAGTTATACCTTTGTTATACTCTGATAGAGTTGTTATGAATTATACTATGATGTCTAAAGTCGCGAGCACTAATAGGTCATCCGAAAACGGCTAACCCCGGGAGATTGTTACCAACGCCCGCGACTCTTCCAGAAGGTCCCTCGAGGAGACCTTTAGAAATCAGACGAATGCTGTGTTTACAATAAAGCAGTCAGTAAAAACGCTGATGCCGGCCGTAGCCGCATACTGGAGACTGGACTTGTTTTCTCTTCATTTAATGTGCACGCACCATTGACAACACGGTCGTCCGAGATCCTCCCCTTCTTGCCGGGCAACTTCTCCTCCCGAATATCTCGAGCTTTCCTGCCTATTTTGCGTATTGATGGAGAAGATCATCGCAAAATACATCGTTGACTTCCTCGCGTCTACTGGCAGGCTCGATCCCCACCAACATGGGTTCTGCAAGGGGAGGTCCACGGAGTCTCAACTGCATAAGTTCATTCAGGATTGGGGCATGGCGGACTGCCGCGACAAGGCCATCCATGTTGTCTACTTGGATTACTCCGAGGCATTTGACAGGGTGGGCCACTCAGCACTCCTTGCCGAGCTCAGAGCTCTCGGGGTCCGCGCAAGTGTCGTCGACTGGATCGCGGACTACCTCTCAGACCGCCTGTTCGTTATTCGGATAGGCGAATCTTTCTCAAGACCGGCCCCCTGTCCCTCCGGCGTCCCACAAGGCTCTGTCCTTGGACCGATCCTGTGGACGGTGTTTATCCTTGACATCAGGAACTTCTTCCCTCCTGAGGTTTCACACAAACTCTTCGCCGACGACCTGAAGCTTTACGTAGAAATCGGTGATGATGGCTCTCGTGAATCACTACAGCAGGCCGTTGATGGAGTCATGTCTTGGTTAGACCGCCACCGCATGGAGGTCTCTGTCCGCAAACGCGCGGTACTCAAGTCAAGATCCGAAGGCACTATTTATACCATGCACAACTCCCCTATCCCAGAGGTAGAGGTATTTCGTGACCTCGGGGTGCTCATCCCCCGCGATCATCGGTTCCGCGAACACGTTGATCGAGTCGTCCGCTCCTCGTCGGTCATTTGCAACCTTATCCCTCGTACGTTTGCCATCCGCAGACCGTCTCACTACACGAAGCTCTTTCGCTCGCTCGTTGAGCCAAGGCTCACCTACTGTTCGACCGTGTGGTCTCCCCCCCTTCGCGGTGACTGGGTCAGACTCGAGGGCGTCCGCCGGCGCTTCATCAGACTAGTCGCTGCAAGATGCCGGGTTAGCCGAGAGTCGATCTCCAAACTGCTCCCTTCCATCGAGGACCTCCACCACAGTGCTGACGACCGTGCCCTGAAGAGAATCATGTCATCCCCACTGCGGGACCTATTCTTCACTGTTCGTCCGAACCGTCTACGTTCCGGAGTCACCATCAAGTCCAGGCTCATCGCACAAACTAATTATGTGAATAACTTATTCGCGTGGCGCGTCTCCAGGCGCATCCATGCTCCATCCTTTATCCCGAATAAAGTGTCTACAAATTGAATTATATGCCTACTCGCCTTCTGCTTCGCCGCTGAGCTCGGGACTCTCGCGATCGGTCCGTCTACCATGTTTGAAAACAACGTTATTATCTAGTCCTCCAGAGTCGACAACAACTCTCTGCACCCTTCAGCGTGACGGACTCACTGAGCACGCCGTTTACAAAGGGGGAAGAGTGACACTGACTTCCCGCTTCCCCGTCTCGTGATCGATCTCGGGGAAAATAGAATGGGCTTCGTTTTCCCATGCACCTGATACCCGATTCCCTCAAAGTTCGATTTAACTATTTCATCGAGCAACGGCGGGATACTGTTGCTCTGGATAAGTCTACTTTTTATCACGATTACTTCGCATGATGTGCTGATTTTGCCTTGTCACACATCGGCCGAAGAATGTTCAATTTTCAATTTTGAAATTGATTTTTAGAAGTTGTTATGCAGCTGAGGTGTGAAATTGTCTCAGGAATCCAACGCACTAACTCCCGAGGCGATCCGAGCAATATTTCCGGAGCTAGACCGCTTCTCATGGGGTCCATAGAGAAAAATCGCCTCTTGTCACGCATCGGACGAAGAATGATCAATTTTTAAGTTTTAAATTAATTTCTAGAAGTTGCTATGCAGCTATTAAGGTGTGATCTTGTCTCAGGAATCATACACACTAAGTTCCGAGGTGATCCGAGCAATATTTCCGGAGCTAGACCGGTTCTCATGGGGGTCCATAGAAAAAAATCGCCTCTTGTCACGCATCGGCCGAAGAATGTTCAATTTTTAATTTTTAAATTAATTTTTAGAAGTTGCTATGCAGCTATTTAGGTGTGAAATTGTCTCAGGAATCCAAGGCAACAAGTCCCGAGGCGACCGAGCAATGTTTCCGGAGCTAAGCCGGTTCTCATGGGGTCCATAGAAAAAATCGCCTTTTGTCACGCATCGGCCGAAGAATGCTCAGCTTTCAAATTTTTAAATTAATTTTTAGAAGTTGTTATGCAGATATTTAGGTGTGAAATTATCTCAGGAACCCAACGCACTAAGTTCCGAGGCGATCCGAGCAGTATTTCCGGAGCTAGACCGGTTCTCATGGGGTCCATAGAAAGAAATCGCCTCTTGTCACGCATCGGCCGAGGAATGTTCAATTTTAAATTTTTAAATTGATTTTTTAGAAGTTGCTATGCAGCTATTTAGGTGTGAAATTGT